ACCACAAATAATAACAATAACAATGGATAATCCCATCGATCCTTGGGGGTCAATATTGAAAACTTTGGGGAACCCTGATCTAGATAAAGCAGCAAAGTACTGATATTTTTTTCTGAATCTTCCTAGAGGGGATTAACACTTCAAACTGCATCATAATTACATTTCAGTGTATTTAGAAGTACAGCATACATTCATAAAGCAGCAGAGCCTAACTATTTTCCTTTATGCTTCCTGTTTGTGTGTGTGTGTTTTCCTCCTGCGCTAAAATCTAAATGGTAAAAGGAAGCAGTTTAAATATGGAATTTTTTCTTGTACTGTGGAAATTTCCTGCTTGAGTTAGTTAATCAAAGGTTATCTTTAATGTTCAGATCCTGACAGTTTCTGGAAATTAACATCTGCAGATGACTTGTTTCGAAAGGGTCCTAGGAGTTGGTTATGAAGTGTGACAGCAAACACTCATTTGCTTTATTTTAGAAGTGAAAATATGCGTAGGTCAGGTGGCCTTTGCTTCCACTACACTAGGCTCCGGGTTCAGTGTCAGCTGCATAGCGGACTACATTGATCTCTAATCTGATAAACATACAGCAGCTTCGTATATTCTAGAGGAAATTACTAGACAACAATAGATTTTCAAAAAAGGAGGCAGACCTACAGGTGCATCAAAGAATAGATCAGTTCTCCGTATCTTCCTAATAGATGCTAAACTGATACTGTTCTGTAATAACAGGGAACATGAGAAGTTATCAAAATTCTTAAACAGTTGATACTTAACAAAACTAACTTTAGAACAAGATCAAATAAACCAAAGACACAGTCTTCTAAAATCACTATGGGAACACTTTTCATTTTCACTCTATTAATGAGTTTTGAAAGCAGAGATGTGATGGTTATTAAACAAAGTCCAAAAATAGGACTTTGAACATTGCCTTCCGAGGAAAACAACAACAACTGGGCTGAAAGGGAAGTTTTGATCAACCAGTCCAACCCTCTTGCCTTAGATTGCTTATTGATGTGGAACACTAGTTACAGTGCCACTATTTTCTTGATCCTGTTCTTATGCCTTTATGAGCAACCTGGCAAAAACATCAACTCGATTCTCTTATCAACTAATCAAGGTTTTCGAGTTTTGCCTTCTTAATTTCTCTGCACAACATGCCATGAGTCCATGTTGACTCAGGCATAGGAGCGAGACCAGTAAAAATAAATAAATAAATAAATAAATGAACCTTGAACTCTGAAGTTGCATGATAATGAGGAAGTTCTACTGTAGTTTCACTGACATTTCCTGATGTTGAGGTGAACCCATTTTGCCACCTGATATAATCCTGTATCAGGATTGCTATATCTTTGCTACTGCAGGCTAAGTAGAAGATCAACATGTGAAATGATTCCCATCCTTGCAGCTGAATAAGAGGATAAGCTTCACCAGTTGAATTCCTACTTTTCAAACATCTTTGAAGGGCACAGAAGCCTGCCAAGGAGGAAATAACCATATAATTGCTTTTCTCTCAGTAGAAAATAGCCTTGCTCTGAGGTATTGGAGAGATATTTCGGAATGGCATTAAGTCACATTCTAAGCAGCATGTCACCAATGGTGCCCCTTTCAGCTTTATAAAAACACAAGGAATTGCAAAGCAGACCAGGACAGAAATACTGTATGGCTCCTTTTTGGCTCTGTTTAGTAACGTCTGCTGGGCTGTTTGTTCCAAGTTATTTAAGAAGACTCCCTTCTGCTATTTGAATCTAGAGTTATTGGCTGGAGATTTGTTTGTACATAATTAGAGTTCATGTACAGATTGTAAGCACTTGGGAGGGAACAGCAGTAGAGAAGCCGTCAGTAAGCACAAAATGTTCCCCTGGCATCTCCTAGAAACCCCAAGAACATTGCGGCACAAGCCCTTTGTTGTTTTCTCTTGTCTTGTAAACTATTTGACTGAGCATCTTCTTTCCCCAAATTTTCCCCAATATTACAGCAGTGGGTAACTCTGGATTTTGGATGGGTGGAAAATTAAATCCTTAAATACAAATAATGGTGAAAAGTATTCCACAATCATGCATGCTGGCCCACATTGTTATAATAACTAAAAGAAAAGGATGAACGGTTGTCAAAGTTGCATTTTTCCCCACAGAATCTTAACCACAGGGAGGACTTTTCAGTATGCCAAATATATATTTGTTATCAATGTCACTGATGAGTTGCTTGGCTTTGCAGAGGCTTTGATGAATTGCATCATGGCCAAAAGTGAGTCACTTCACCTGGATATTTCATGGAGGTGAGACCTATTTGACTGCATTGGTTGCTTCTATTTGCACACACAGAGAAGACTTCTGTCACAGCTAGAAGTGGACAGAACTATTTCTGATATAATAATTCCTTCTTAAGATTTGGAAATGTTGTTTTTGTTGATGCAGTTTAAAACAGCTTTTGCTTATTTTACAGCCAGATCACACTGTTGAGTCATACTCAGTTTGTCATCAACTACAGTTGCAAGTTCTTTTTCACGTGTAAAATAGCCATGCCAGAAATTCTGCATCTTATACCTGTGCATTTGATTTGTTTCCTAACTGGAAAGCTTTGCATTTATCTCCATTAAATATAATTATTACTTTCAACTCTTTTCTCTAGAACACCTTGAAGTACCTCTTCCAGAACATTAGTGATCCACCCATTCAGTTTTGTGTTATCTGGAAATTTGATATGCATTCCCTTCTTATCCAAGTCATTAATAAAAGTTTAGAAGAGAAGGCCCAGCATAGATCCCTGTGGTGGCTCACTTAACACCCTACTCCAGTTTGATGAGGAACTACTAATGAGCACTCCAAATCCCACAAATTTCAGTATCGAGCCCTCCTGATCAAGCCTGTCATGTTTCAGCTAAATCATCTTGTGCCAGCAGTGCATTATCCAAGTAACACAGACCATGATCTCAGAAATTAAACCTCTCCATAATCAGTCATTCACTTGTAATGTTCTTTTTTTCTCTTTCAGTCTAGTCCTCTGCTATGAGAATGTCACCAAGCTTTCTTCTGAGAACTTCAAGGTGATGCAGCTTCAGTTATACAGATTGTCTCATTTGTCCCTATGTAGACTTCATGAATCTTGGTAGTTCCTCTGTCACATTCTTGATCCACATCAAATGAAATGTTTTACAGAAAAAAAGAGCTGCTTTACTGAAACTCATACTGGTATCAGTCCATTTCCATACTCCCAAACCCTTGAAAGGAATACCAAAACCAACATCATAGCAAGAGCTAAAATAATTTATTTACTGAACAGACTATTCAAACGCACTGGAACAGCAAAAAGGATAGTCAGTGTCTCTTTTTGAGACTTGTCCTGACCATTTCCCCACATAATTAACAGAGGAACAGCTGTCAAAATGCACACTCAAAAACAATCTAAATATAGGAAACAGTTAATAATTTTCTGCCCTCCAAGTGATCCTGTCCTATTAACACATCCCTCTTCAAAGCAACAGCTCAGGGCTAAAAAGTATGGCTTTTTACTCTGTCCTCCAAGAATTATATACAAGAAAGGTCCAACTACCCAGTCAACTTTCAGTTTGCAAGCTCAAGGTCAGCAAATCAGGACTGTTGAATTGAAATAATATCCCTTCCCCGCTGAGCAAACAGATTCTTTTCTGAAAACTGATTACATCTCCTTAGTTACAGAAATCACACCATCCTCAATCAAGTGTTAAAGTGGCTAAAGAAGAAAACTAAAGAGATTTTATAAACACATTTTACTGGATCTGGTGAAAGAAACATAGCTCTGGATTATTTTATCATCAGCATTGTGGGAAAATGCAAAATGAAATCACTGAAACTTTTAAAATGGAGCTATATTAGTCCTTGATCTTTCCACATCAACAAATTGCTACATTTCAACCTAAAGAAGGTGTGAAGCCCAAAAGCTGTTCAATGGGTTTGTATCTCCATTCATCTGCCTCTAGTTCTTCCACTAAGCCAGCAAGTTTTTCCATTCGAGCAACTTGCTGATCTGTAACAGAAAATTAAAAATGGTTTGCAATCAACTTTCAGTTAAGCCTTTTAATGTATTATAAGCCATACATAGTGTTTTAGAGCAGACAATTCTTTTATCACAAGAAAATTAACTGGTTAGAATCCACACAATTTAAATTGTATATATTTTTATTCTAACTATGATTCACAAGACATTATCAATCTACAAGACAGGATAAAAATATTAAAAATAAACAAGTTCTGTTTAAAGATCCTCATATTTACTTTCAATTGCAAGAAAATAAATGTATTATTCCTACTGCCCCAGTTCTAAAACCTGCAAAAGCTCTTTTAGATCTGGCTTTATTCCAGCTATACTGCTGTTTCTCTTAGAAACTATCAGCCAGTGAGAATACTTCAGATAGCCTCTGCATAAATAGAATTTGAAAAAAACCCTTCAAGCCATGAATATCAATTTTTAGGCCAAAATATCTGTTCTCTAGAACAACTGTACTGCGCGTGAGTCAAAACAAAAAAATCAGCTACGAGATATCCTAGCTTTAATATCAAGCACTTTAATATACAGTGATATATTATTATCTTGTCATCTGCTACAGCTGGTATATCACAAGGAAGCTAAAACAAAGTAGTTGTATTACACTGAGGTTCTTCATATCTCTTATTTATAAGATGCTTTTCATTTTGTCAAAATTCTCAAAAACTTCAAATATACTAATCGTCCAATAAAAGCGATAAGAAAAACAATAAAAAAAACCAGTGTTAGAGCAGTTGACAATGAATTGTGACAGAAAAATTGAAGGGCTTGGGCAAAAGCCATATTTTTAATGGCTGGTGGGGACATTCTAAGTTGAGAGAGTGCACAATCACAATGGGGTCATATTTCCTCAGACCACTATTCCAGAGCGACTGGACAATCTTATCTATGGGGAAAGTGGGATTTTGTTTTTCTAACATGGCCATGTTAACATCAGGCTTGTTCTACCAAACCTTCTTCAACAGATGTCCACTGACATCCTGCATTTAGCCATGGGAAATTCTGTTCCCAAGGGAAGATAGGAAACTCTTAAAGGCCTTAAAGCAGTGTTGTCCAAACTTGGCCACTTTAAGATGAGTGGACTTCAACTCCCAGAAATTCCCCACCCAGACGTGGTTTTCAGGAATTTCTTGTGGGGGGTTGTGGGGGGTTTGATGGACACTCCTTTTAAGAGAGCTAAATTGGAT